CCAAATTCAGAGTTCTTAAGATTCAATTTTAAGTGTAAAGTTATCTTTAAAGTGTTTAAATTTGTTATCTTTTTTAGAACATTAATATTATATTTTATTTAGAATAGTATTCAAGGTCATAATCTTACCTTCAGAGCTGAGTGGTCTAATAAATATGAATGTCAAATAATAATACTACCTGTTTAAAAAAGGAAGAGATTCTAACCTCTTACAGAAATGGGAATTTTCTCTGTTTAGTAAAAAGATAGTGGAAAATACTAAAATGATTTTATACATTAGCAGTAAGAAACTTGGGAATGCTGCTACAAATTTTAAAATGAAAAGTTTAATATTGAAATATTACTATATTGCCAATAATAAGTCCACAGTTCTCTTTAAGTGTCTGAAAACATTTGCAGTGATATCAGAATGATTTATTAAAGTTTGGTTTGACTGTGTTTATTACTGTGTAGATGAATAGCAGCTACAAGGCAGGAGTCTCTGATATTGCCATTTAGGTGATGTAATGCTAACAGAACCAGCTTGTGAGACCAATTTTTTCATTCACTCTTAACATAGTTAAGCACCAATAAGGGATGGAGAAAGGAGTCACTTAATAGATCATTTATATTTTATATTATCAAAAGATTATGTGTCATTAGCTACGACGTTATTAGAGAATCACTTTAGAAATTTTAGTTCTTGTTCTTAGAAGGTTTCATTCTGGCCATAAAATAAGACATAAGCGAAATACAAACATATTGCATGACGGGAATAGATATTTGATTTAAATAATGCAGAAGAGTAATTTTAGAAATGTATTTGAGTCTAGAAATCAGATGCTATTTTTGTGTGCTAAAAATGAGGCAGTTTAGTAGGAAAGATATCACATTGCTGGTTAATTGCAGATAACCTTTTAGTCTAGCAGACTTTTTACCACTTGTTTCGGTGCCGAAAGCAAATTAGAGTTGGCTTAAAGGAATGGGAATAAGTTTCAAAAGCTTATTTAACTTTGCCATTGGTAAAAAGTCAACTTCGAAGAATATATATAATTTGAAAGCATATTATACATCTATATTCATCAGAACTTTAAAAAGAGAATTGTTAATGACAGCATATTTCTTCTCTGGAATAAAATTTCTTCAAGACACAGATTAGTTAGTTTCTTGTAGTGGGATTGCTTCTGTGGTTATTTTTAAAGGAAATGGGAGTGTTGTGGAAGTGATTATCTATTACTTCAGTAGTTGTTGTTAAAGGCATGAACAGCATGTAGTTTTGTTTTTTTAATTTTCCTGTTGAATACTGGTTACAGAGTAAGTACAGTTTTTTGCTAGCAGTTAATCTGTGTTTAAGTAAAAGTGATGTTCAGGTAATAATATTTCAAATAACCAATTGAACACTTCTATTATTTTTTTAAATACTTTTTTATTTTATTTATTTATTTTTTTAGAGAGAGAGAAGAAGGGAGAGGGAGGGAGAGAGAGAAAAATGTCGATGTGAAAGTGAAACATTGAGCAGCTGCCTCCTGCATGCCCCCACCTGGCATCGAGCCTGCAACCTGGGCATGTGCCCTGGCTGGGAACTGAACCGTCAGCCTTTCAGCGTGCGGGACAGTGCCCAACCAACTGAGCTGTACCAGCCAGGGTGAACAATTTTATTATTTTTAATTAAATTCAACCCTTTTCATAGATGCAGAAATTATTTAATTATATAAATAAAATTTTAGGATATGAAGACAATTTACATGAGAGTTAGTTGGAGGTTCTAACAGGAATCCACCTTGTCCTAATCAAAGCCAATCTTGTGAATGTAGCAACAATTCAGTGTCTTGATTTAAGAACTTCACTTTGGAAATGATACACATGGAAGAAGAGGGAAGGCAGAAGCAAGCCAAGTGATCCTCACACCTAGTTGGTTGAGTAGATAGTGTATTATGAAGGTACTGGTAGTTTTAAAGAACCCTGCAAGTTATGGTATTATGTCATTCTATTAATTGTTTAGTTTCTCAGTTTGTAATCTGGGAAATCTTGTCATTATCTCTTGGGTAAAAGTCTTGTAGATCAAATATCCTACCCATAGCAGGAGTCCTAAGGATTTAGTGCCCATTCCGTCTCTGCTTAACCTAGTCCCAGATTTTTAGGTTTTCTTTGTCTTTGTTTCCTATCCTCTAAAATGGGACTGCATTATATTCTTTTGGTTTTTGACAGCTCTGCTTTCCTATTTTTTCTCAGCCATGTCAGACTCATGAGGTTTAAAATAAAGTCACCAAGGAAACCTTGAGATTCTCCCTATTTTAAGATCCCTGCCAGTGTTTAGTATTCCATCTGTTGAGGGAAGTCTGGCAGCTATACCTCTCTTTTTAAAATTATGCAGTGATCTCAATTAATAGAAGGCAAAGAAAATTAGTTGAGACTAGACACATTTTAGGGAGACAAATTTAGAATGGTCTATATGGGAAAAGGTTGGAGTAGGGAGTAAATTTAAAAATTTTTTCTAGATTCTAAGCAAGTTATGGGAAAAACTTTTATTTTGCATCTCTTTCCCACTTTGTGGTACAAGGGGAGCTTGGGTCCCTTAACTATTTGTATGATAGTAGTAATAATAATAGTAGTAACTGTTAACATCTCTACTAGACTGTATACTAATTGCTGCACACACACTATCTCATCTGAACTACAAGTGTTATCATGTAGGTACCAGAGTTATTGTTAATTTATAGAAGAAATACTTATAGAGTGAAGTCATTTACTCATGATCATATAGCTAGAAAGTGATCTGACTCAAAACCCATATTCCTAACTACTAGGCACCCTGCCTTCTCTCCAAATGGCTAACAAATTGATGAGATGAAAATTGCCCTAAAGACAAACTATATTGAAATACTATTCTAGGAACTTTTTTTATTGTTGTTAATACTCACCCAAGGATATTTTTTCCATTGATTTTTAGAGAGAGTGGAAGGGAGGGGGAGAAAGGGAGAGAGAGAGAGAAACATCGATGTGAGAGAGACACACTGATTGGTTGCCTCCTGCACGCACCCTGACTCTGGCGGGGATTGAACCTGCAACCTAGGTACTTGCCCTTGACTGGGAATTGAACCAGGACCCTTTGGTATATAGGCTGATGCTCTAACCACTTAGCCACACCGGCCAGGGCCCAGGAACTTTTTTCACTTAAAAAGAGAGGAAGCAAAGGATAGTGATAGGGAGAGATCGGGAGGAAGATGAGAGATTATAAATACAGTATTCTTACAGATTTCTGTTTGTTGATAGTAATATTTGACTTTTAAAGACATTTGAGTTATATGTTTGAGTAAAGATTTATAGATGCTTTTCTGTTTTTATTTATATATATATGTAACTATATTTGTTTAGAATATTTAGTATTTATAATCTAGCATGGAGACATCTTGATACCAGATTGTCATTGAACTGTTACTATAAAAATATACTAATTAGATTTTTAAAATTCAAATTTTTATATGCATTGCAATTAAGATAATCTGCGTTGTGCTGATTTACCAGTTGATTTGTTTAATATATATTTATTGAATGCCTACTGTGAGCCAAGCACTGTCAAGTGCTAGGGATCAATTTAAAGAGAAATAAGACACAATCCTTGCCTTAGCAGTTTTACCACCTGATATGTGAGATGATCAAGTGAACAGGTAATTATAAGGATAAGTGAGCAGAGGGTGCTATGCCAGCACATAGGGAGGGACTGCCTCACTGTAGAGATCCCACATGGCTTACTCGAAGAGGCGGCCTTTAAAATATCCTGGGTGATGATAGGAGTTACTTATCACAATATGTACACTGTCTATTGGTTGATTAACCATAAGTATATTATTAGAAATACCAGGGGGATCTTTTAAAAAATACCAATGCCTGGACCTGCACCTAAAAGATTCTGATTATTTAGTTTTGGTGGAGGCCAGGCATGAGTATTTTTATAGAGAAGCCCAGGTATTTTTATGGGCTGCTATGGTTAGAAATCACTCAAATACCATTTCAGACATAACTCCTAAAATGGTGCCTGCTGACAAGGACACTTTTTGATATTGCTTAAAGAGAAGCTATTACTAGGGAATGGAAGGTTTGAGATAAAAAATTAATTGAAAACAGAGAAACAGACTTAAAAATATAAAAGCTAATAAATCTACAGTAAGAGTAAACAACTTGCCTAGGTAAGATTAATTGAATAAAGCATTAAGATGTCTCGCATATCCCATTTAAAAATACTAAGGGTACAAAATAGTTCCCATGGATCTACTACTTGAAGTCCTGCATAGAAATATTAATACTAATATAAGATACACAGAAAAGAATAGTTGTTCATCAACAGACACATAGTTATGCAAATCTGAAAGATTAGAATGGTAAACCCCTGAAGGACTTTTCATGGGTTGGCGAGCAGAAGAGAGCAGATGATTCATAGTTACACGGGAGCTTCATGGCTGTATAGATGAGAATGGGCGGGTAGAAGATTATGAATGAATAGTGAGTGTAGGATTCTGATTGATTGTATTTACTTATAGGATAGACCACACATATTTCTTTCCTTTCTTTGAAGTAGCCCTATGAAGAGGAGAAAAGGGGTTATGTTTTTATTTTCTGTTTTTCTGAGTAGAGAAAGCTTTCGGATACAACTGGTGACATTACATTAATGCTTAACTAGAACCACTGGGAAAATTATCTGTGTGATATATAAAAGACTATGTTAGGATAATGGGATATTAAACTGCAGGGGATTTTTTAGTGTAGAGACCCTGTTACTTCATTTAGTTTGATGTTATTGTTGAGAAAACTGTGATTCAGATTCATTAAATAAATTGCCCAAAGTAACACACCTAGGTAAAGGTAGACCGGGACTAAATTTAAGGCTTTTTGACATTGAGATCAGTGTCCTTTCCATTAAAGCACACCACACTACCTTATATTTTTCAGAGTTTTATTGTTCTTGTATTTTGACTTTTCTAGTCTAGTTTTCTTTTATTTTGTATTACAATTTGTCTCCTGAAGGTCAAGTAACCTGGTTTGGTTATGAAAGTCCTCGTAGCTTCTGGGACTATATCAGAGTGGCTTGCCGGAAAGTTTCACAGAATTGTATCTGCAGCATTGAAAATATGGAAAATGTCAGTTCCTCTAGAGCTAAGGTAAGACGTAAATAATAATATGCAATGTGTATAATCCTAAGCAGTCTTGACCCAGTTAGAAAACTTTGAGCTCCTTGCCATATAAAATACTTTTATTTGTTGGAATTAAGCATTTGACCAAATTTAACATCTTTCAGAGGCTTGTTTCCTTTTTTATTGTATGAATCTTCACTGTTGCTTTACGAATGGCAGGAAGGTATGAAGCTAGTCACTACTGAGAAGAACAATGAAATGTACCCTATTCTGTGGATTTTTGATATTTCTTGAATTACCTAAACCAGTGACTCTCAGGGTTCCTACAGAACCCTGGGGTTCCATAATGTCAAAACTATTTTCATGTAATAGCATAATGTTATTTGCCTTTTGCACTGTGTTGACATCTTCACTGCTGGTGCAGAAGCAATGGTGGGTAAAATTGCTGGTGCCTTAGCACAAACTAAGACAATGTATCAAACTATACTAGTCATCATTGAGTTCTTTCTCACCATCAGCTCAGTCTAAAAAAAAGACGCTTTCACTTAAGAATGTCAGTGATGGTGTAGGAAACATTATTAATTTTATTAAATCTCAACCTTTGAGTATCTTTTTCGTATCCTGAGTGACAAAATGGGAAGTATGCGTAAAGCATTTCTGCAGCATATTGAAATATGACAGTTGTGTCAAGGGAAAGTGTTCACGCAGTTGTTTGCATTGTAAGCTGAACTAGACACTTTTGTCACGAAATGCTATTTTTATTTGAAGGAAAATGTAGGAACTATCATTTTTTAACTTAGACATTTGGTAGACATTTCCTGAATAAAAATGAACAAAGTGAGCCTATTACTTCAAGGAAAACAGCTGACAGAATTTATTGCCAATAGTAAAATTAAAGCTTTTGTGTAAAAATTGGAATTTTTGAAAACTTGTATTCACCATCTTAATCTTCATAGCTTCCCAGTACTTAAAGACTTTTCTGATAACATTGATGTTGACAAATGTATTTTTAATTGTTTAATGAAATGTGTCAACATTTGGTAGACCCACATAACTCATATTTTCCAAATGACCGCTGCATGGAATCCTAAAGTCATGCATGGGTACAAGATCCATTCAAAGTGCAAGGCAGACCAATGGATTTAATGTAATATAGTATGAGAAGTTTGTTATGTGGTTATAGATGCCATGTATATCCATGCATCCCTCCATCTGATACATTTTTATTGAGCACATATACCATGTCAGAAGTGTGGATGTGGTCCTTAATCCATTCTCATGACATGTGTCCCTAACCCTTCCTAGTTTGTCTCCTCTTCTTCTTTGCTTTGTCCATTGCTCAGAAGCTGGTCTTGTCACTACTCTGTCCCAAAGGCAGGTTAGCCAAATGTTCTACTGAAAGAGGCAGAGGCAAAGCGGGTATTAATCACAGATATACCGGAGTTATCAAATACTGTAACTTTACAGTAAGACATAGTATTGCAAAGAGGCCATTTTTATAATTATTTTCTGTTACTGACTCACAAATATATCTCCCTTTTTAACCACCACTTGCAATTTCATATCCCCACTTTTTTATTGTGATGGTCCCAAATCTGGAATAATGTCAGAAATACTTGGGGAGCTTTAAAAATAGAAACAGTTTCCCAGGAGAAACCAGACATATTCTGATTCTGCCCATTTGTTTTACACTCTATCTATTTTAAATACTAACTGTATATGAATCTTTCTAAAATACTCTGTTTTTCATATCATTTCTTTTCTCTACTTCTAACTGGTGGCTCCAGTGCCTAGTAGCTATGAACAAATTATTTATCTCCTTTAGTTTTATTCACTTATTTAACAAATATATACTAGGTGCCTACTATGTGCCAGAAGACTGTTGTAAATGCTGAGGATACAGTGGTAGTGGTGAAAAAGATGGCAAAGAACAAGCATTACACACATTATATTTTAGTAATACAACAAACAAATAAATATATACATAATATCTCGGGGGAGTTAGAAAGTGATAAGAGTGGTGGAAAAGATAGGGAAGGATTCTGTGAGGCAATATCTGAGTCAGGATTTGAATTATGGGAAGAAATATGCTGTGCAGATGTTAAGCTGAGGAAGGCAAGGTGTAGAATAGACGATATGGTCATGATTAAGAGTTTGAATATCATTCTCAGAGCAATAGGGAGCTACTTGAGGGTTTCTTTTTCTTTTTAAAAGCAATAAAGTAGTGTAATCTGATTACATTTTTAAATGATCAACTGGTTACAGTATGGTGAATACATAGAAAGGAGGGGTAGGAGCAGTAAGTCAAGTTAGAAGGGTTTAATTGGAGTCTAAAAAAATGATCTTGGAGGTAAGAAATGAATCAGTTTCTGTTCCCAGTGAAAACAAAATAGCTTGTATAAGAGGAACTCTTCTGCCAAGAACACCAGTAAAGGTTGAATAAAATGCATAAAGCAACCAACTTAAGACATGAGAACAATCAAGGCATGAGAACTTGAGTGGCCACAGTCCTGGAGAGAAGGATGGTATATGAAGTGAGCCCTACATTCATCTTGGCTTTTAGCCTAAGGACGCTTGTCTGTTCACCTCATAGGTATAGAGACTATGCAGAGCGTGCAGCGGGTTGGGGATGGTTGTTCTGGTTTACTGGGCTAGTGAAACAAGCTGGAGCTTGGAACTGCCAGTGAAGCCAGGACTTAATGGAGAGGAGAAAACTGCAAACAAATGTACCTGAAGTTATACATGCAATTTTCCTTTAAGGTGTTTGCCAACTCTTAGTCATCTGAAGCACAGAGCCAAGGTCTGATAAATCAAGCTGAAAGCAGCAGGTAGGAGGCTAAAAAAGCCCATCAAAGATTTCAGCCTTGTTCTGGAGAGACAGACATTAGAATTCAAGGTTAATCAAATTGGAGGGGCCCTATAAACACTCCAGACTTTTATTTGAGACCCCCAAAAAGGAGTAAGGGAAACTCAGGTAAAACCAGCCCAAAAAAGGTCTAAAAGTGGTACCCTTAAATGGTGCATGCAGATTTTCAAGTTCATTGTCTGCCTACCAGAAGAAAAATAAAGGTAGCATTAAAGCTGCTACAAATTTTCATATACATCGTCTAGTATTCAATCAAAAATCACCAGGCATATCAGAAAACAATATTAAGTGACCAAAACCAAGAAATATAAAAAAGACAACTGAAACAGACCTATGGGAAGGCCTGGCTGGTTAACTCAGCTGGTTAGAGCATTGCCCTGATATGCCAAGTNACAATATTAAGTGACCAAAACCAAGAAATATAAAAAAGACAACTGAAACAGACCTATGGGAAGGCCTGGCTGGTTAACTCAGCTGGTTAGAGCATTGCCCTGATAGGCCAAGGTTGCANAGAGCATTGCCCTGATATGCCAAGTTTGCAGGTTCAATCCCTGATCAGGGCACATACAAGAATCAGCCAATGAATGCATAAATTTCTGGAACAACAAACAGGCCTATGGGAGATGCAGATGATGGAATTTTAAGTAATTATAATAGGGTCAAGAAAATGCAAATAGGAATAATATTGAGAGAACTGGAATCTATAAGAAAATCAAAATAGAAAAATGCAGAATATTCATTTTTACCAAACACATAATAGAACTTATACAAAAATTGATCATTTGTTAAGTTATAATTCATCTTAGTGAATTTCAGAGGATTAAAATCATATAAACTATTTTCTAATGACAGTAGAATTAAGCTAGAATTAATAACAAAAAGATAACTAAAAAATGGTTCACTAGAAGGACTCAATTTCATGGATGAAAGAAAAAATTACAATTAAAAAATAGCCCTAGCCAGTTTTCTCAGTGGTTAGAGCATAGGCCCTCCCTCGGACTAACAGGTCTGGGTTCTGTTCCTGATCAAGGGCAGGTACCTTGGTTGCAGGCTCTGCCCCTGTCAAGGCGAGTGCAGGAGGCTGCTAATTGATGTGTCTCTCTCACATTGATGTTTCTCTCCCTTCCACTCTCTCTGAAAAGCAATAGAAAAAATATCCTCAGGTGAGGATTAAAAATGAAAAGGAAAAGAAAAAATATTTGGAAAGTAATGATAGTGAAAATACAACACGTAAAAACTTGCACTTAAAGGACAATAGGTATGCTTAAATAGGCTTTTATGTATTTTTAAAAAAAGAATAAAGGCTGAAAATCAGTGATCATAGCTTTCATCTCAAGAAACTGTTTTTAAAATGTAATAAACTCAAGGAAGAAGGAAAGAAATAAGAGCAAAAATTCAATTAAATTGAAACAAATGTACACTGGGAGAAAATCAACAAAACCAAAAGTTGGTGCTTTTATAAAAAAATTAATACAATTGAGAAGCTTTTAGCAAGACTAAGAAGAAAGAGAGAGATTATAACTTACCAGTATCAGGAATGAAGAAGAGTCCAACCCCAGAGACCCTACAGACATTATAAATTCTAAAAGAAAATATGAATAACTTCACACCTATAAATTTGAAAATTTTGATGAAATGGGGAAATTCTTTTAAAAATTATCACTTACAAAACTAACACAGAAAGAAAACACTTGAATATTCTGATACCTGCTAAAGAAATTAAATCCGTAGTTAAAAATCTTCTCTTTGCAGTTTCATTTTTAAATTGAGTGTTCTTTTTCTTACGGATTTCTAAGAATTCTTTGTATTTTGTGAATGAGACTCTTCTGTCAAATAGATATAACTCATATATCTTTGCCCACTCTGTGATTTGTACTTTCACTCTCTTAAATGATTACAGTTCATCCTCTGAAATAGGAAGAAGGGTAGAGTATATGAGTATTACTTCAGTTGGATTGGTCAGTTTGGTGGTTGTGGGATAAGTTTCCTGTTTTCGAGTGGTGCCTGTGTTTTGTTTCCTCATGTAGTAAAGTAGGGATAGTATTGCACCTAACTCACAGTTCTTGGGAGGATTAAATATTTTAATGTGTATCTAAAGCTCTTAAAACAGAGCAAAACATATATATTATTATGTTCTTAAAAAGTGTTGACTACACCACAAAAATATGGGCCTCAAAGAAGTGACCAGAGCAGGAAGCTTTATACTTTTAGACAAAGAAACATAAATTTGTGAAGGGATAAAAAGGCAGAGGGGTTTGGGCTAAGGGGTAGTAAATGGCGAGGAAGTAACAAGGCTTGTTTATGCAGCCTTTTTGGCCCTATATTCTCTGACCCTGGTGATAAGGATGCCTCCCGTTCCCCTGGTACAGGGAGGTTACCTTTCACATGGGACATTCTCTCTTGCTTTGAGGAAACAAGGATGGGGCCGGGGGTAGACCAGAGTGACCTCAAACTCCTTCAGTCTAAGATCCATATTTTGGGGTAGCATGTCAGAACCCTATCATCTGTAAATTTGTAGAAAGCAATTTGGAAAAATGATTTGGCCTTAATATTCTAAAGTTAAAGATATTTATACTCCTTGAGCCCACATTTTTTACTCCTTTGATTTATATTAGGGTAATCAACCATCAGTTTCCCCAGAACCATGGGATTTTTTTTTTTTTTTACAGTTGACCTACACTATTTTATTAGTTTTGGGTGTACAACCCAGTGATTTATGTAAGTTATAAAGTGATCACCCCAATAAGTCTATATCCATCTGGTACCAGACATAATTATTAGAATGTTATTGACTATATTTTCTATGCTATACTCTATACCCTGTGACTTTCGTAGCTACCAATTTGTGCTTCTTAATCCCTTCACCTTTTTCACACACACACAAAGTTTTAACTACTTTTAATTTTTTTCCCCCAAAAGCCTTCAGTGGCAGACAGACGAATTAAGATTTGTGTCTCTAGGAAAAAAACAAAACAACAAAAAACTGGTGGGTCACCATTATCTGACTGGTAAATTCTGAAATTTATCAGTTTAAATTAAACCTAGTTTCTCATTCCATGGCCCCAAAACCTTTATAAATGATCTGTTTATCTTCTATACTAGTAAAAATTCTTTTGTTGAAAGAAAAGAAACTTAAAATCATCACAATTTAGCCCTGGCTGCTGTGGCTCAGTTGGTTGGGCATCCTCCCGTGCACCATAAAGTTGCCGGTTTGATTCCTGATCATTTGCTCAGGTTTCTAGTTCAATCTTCAGTAGGGGGCATGCAGGAGGCAGCCAATCGGTGTTTCACTCTCACATCGAAGTTTCTTTCTCGCTCTCTTCCTTTCCCTCCCTCTCTCTCTGAAAATCAATAAAAAATATTTTTAAAAAGATCACAATTTATTATCACAATATGACAGAGAATTCTACAGACATCGAAGGACAGGAAACTAGGTGTAGCCCAGTTTTGCATGGACTGAAATTAAAAAATAAGGAAGCAGGACTTTCCTCACATTTCTTATCTAGCAGTAGCACAGTCTCCTGTGTCTAACTTCTCTGGAGAGCAACTTTTTCCTGCTTCTGTTTTGGTGAAATCCTGGCCTTTTGATTCAAGCTACCACTGCTAGTCTCTGTGTCTTTTAAATGAAATTTCAAGAATCTTGAAACTGCTAACCAGAGGCTTGCCTCTTTTCTCTGTTCTGTTCTGCCACAGCTAATTGTAGGCTCCCCTAGGCTTACTCAGTGAGAACAGTGGAGCTAGCCCTGGGCAAGTTAAAAGGGGTTTTGAGCTTGGTGGGCAGATTGACTGACAAGCTAGCCACACCCATATCATTCCTTTATTTCCCAACAACACAGCTGCTTCTGGCCGGTTTTATCACTGTCGAGATCTGACTCTGTTTTGATCCTTCCTATGCAAGAGTTTGGTGAATTTATTAGAGTTGGAGTCATTTCTAAAGAATGCTTTTTTTTTCTCCACACTGGTAGTCAACCATCATGTACACTGATTAGTGTCACCTTTATTCTCAACTGTCATTGCACTGTTTTGATTTTCTACATAGTCAATCTTACTGGACTTTTTGGAGTTTTGTGAAAGGGTTGAGTGAAAATGAAAGTAATTGAATTTTAAAATTCTCACTACAAATATAATCTCTTATATTCTTTCATTCTAAACAAAAAGTCCAGAAGAAATATTTTGGATTATAAAAAAATTAATTAGTCCCAACTATTGAGTTATGTTACCCCTTTTCTAAATAAAAGTAGATTATTCACATTTAGTCAGAATTGTCTGTTTCTGTGATTTTGTGCTAGAACATGCTTCTGGGATATTTTTGTTGTGTGATTGTTCTTTCTGATCTAAATATTTGGTAACAGTTTTTTAGAATGTTATGGGCAGAAACTCATGATTTGGATGCATGATAAATAATGAAATTTGGTTCATTATTAGTTGTCTAAACCCTCCTGGAAGAAAAGGTGAGAAATTTTTTAAATAAGTCTTATGAGAGTCATTTTTATTAAAAAGAATGGCTCTGTTCCTCATGTTTTTTAAGGGGATTCATTTTATTTAGCATATTGATTTTGGCGTAGAAGTAGAGTTAGGTCTTCTGATTACATTCTTTGATTCAAAAGAAGTCTCTGTCCAAGTAACTCAATATTTGTGGTTCTGTTTCTTCAGAAGATAGAGTTAATCTGACATGCTTAACCCTATGCCTTCAGGGAAACAAAATGCATACTATGTATAATCAAAATTTACCTATTATTTACTTAAAATTTTCTAGTCTTTATCAAATGTATATTTTGAATGAGTTGTTCTTTACATATTAAAATGCTTATATTGTTGATGATGAATTGAGCAAAATATCTTTTAATTTTCAATTTTTCTCATATTTGATTCTTTCTTCTTCCTTTCAGGGTAGAGCCTGGATCAGAGTAGCACTCATGGAAAAACACTTATCTGAATACATCTCTACAGCTCTGAGAGACTTCAAAACAACCAGGTTTAAAAGTCCTTTTAATTTTTATGTATATACTTAAAAGAGTCACCTAAAGTCTTAGAAATAAGGATAGAACGAAGACTCATTCGTTTCTAAAGTCCTCATTATTTCCTTCTTTTCATACTACTCAGGTAAATTCACTGTCTCCTTAGGAAACTGCAGTTTGCCATCTGAACATATATCTGCCTTGGTTTATCTTTTCAGGCTTAACATTATGCTTGGAATATCTCTTTTTAAATTATTTCTAATTCTCACTTTTTCAACACTTGCAGTTTCATTGTTTGCATAGACTTTTCCCTGGCCAATTTGAAGAAAAGTACACAAAATTCTTAACAGCATTCTTTTTCTTTCCTCACTACAACATTTATTTCTTTGCTTATAAAGAATATAAATGGACCATTCACTTCTTTAATTCACATATATATTTATATTTATTTAATTATTATAAATATATAATTCACATATATATTTATAATTAATGATTGCTTCATTGTCTTTTTAGGGCAGTCTGTGCCAAAGTGTTTTCCTTGGGTTGTATACACTTAAGAGATGATATACTGCACCATGTGTAAAACAGGACTTTATTAATTTTTATGGTAGTAAAAAAAGGGGTTCATATTAGGGCAAGAGTCATTCCTATCAAGCTCTAGTCTACTAATGTATGTTTATAGCTTTTGTTAAAGAAACCACTTTTCTCCTTTTCCAAAGTATTTGTAAATGAAAATATTCAATAATTTCAATACTGTAGATGTGTACTGTTCAGTACAGTAACCACTAATCACATGCTACTATGTAAATTAAAATTAAGATTTATACAATTATTCATGTAGTTCTTCAGTTGTTGTATTGAACATTTCAGGTGTTCAATGGCTATATGTGGCTTATGGCTACCAAATTAGACAACACAGATAATAGAACATTGCTTCATTATAGAAAGTTCTGTCAGGCACACTGCCTTACACACTTTTAAATTGCCATACTTATTTCAACCTCATTAACCATATTTCTGAAAGAAAAGAAAAGAGTGACACAGCTCTAAATCAGTTTTGATAGAGAAAATTAGGGACAAATATAAAGAAATCATATATCTAGAATCTTAATTTTCATGTCCTGGTGCAGTATTTGATATTTTTGGATTAGGGAAAAGTCCAGGCATTTATTATAAAAATTCTGTTAGCTGCTAGCTGGTACAAATTACAGTATTTTTACTTCGGTATCTCTATGTTGTTAGGTAATAAAATCGTAACTTTTTCATGTGGGAGATAAATACTATCATGATTATAAATTTGACCAGGATATAAAGAGCTTTAACTAAAAGAACTATTTGCATAAAGTAAATCTGATATATATTTATTGAATTCTTTAAAGTAATATGATACTCCAATGGATTTTATGACATAAAACATTTGTTTCTTTTATTTATCATTACTGATAAATTTAATTATGAAAGATACTAAGTGCTGAGGATCCTAAGGCTTTGAAAATAAAAATAGTATCAGAAAATTATAGATCAAACCTAAAAATCCTAAATTAATGAAATAAAAACCAAGTTTACAAAGTAATCCTCTCCTATGCAATAACAAGATTACATTAAAGTTATGATAGTCTTTTCTAAGTAGAAATTAAAGCATTAATAATATCTTTAAGTTGTTAGTCTTATTTCTTAGTTTAGGCAGTCAGATGGGGTAGAAATAATTCTTGAATAGACTGTTTTTAGAATTAGTAGTTTAAATATTTAAAGGGAAATGCTTTTTTACTTGTTCTTAGTTGTTAGGTGTGTGGTATGTTTTTTTATAAAAAGGAAATGATTCAGCTCTAAAAATATTCATGAGTAAAAATATTCTTGCAACAATATATAAACATATATTATTCAAACAGAAACATGGCTTAGTATATGTTCATACACATAAACCAATACATACACGTAGTATTTCAATGTGAATATAATGGCTCTGTAATTCTCAAGAAAGGAACTAAGGAGGGAATTATTTCAAACATACCTATTTGGAAGGTTAGATTTGTAAAATGCAAGCAAACTATTAAAAAAAATAGTTATATCTTACCTTTTGTCTGGATACTTCCTGACATAAGTGCTGTAGAAATGATAAATGTTCTCTAATCCTTTAGAAATCTTGACAGTGTCTGAATCAAGTGATTTCTTCTTGTTCCACTCTACACAGATAAAGAGTAATGACATTCTTTACAATGGTGATACAAGTTTTTACCCCAGTAGAGAAGGAGGAGCTACATGAGCTAACACAGGCCAGCTTGAAGTACTAATCAGTGAAAATCCAAGGATAAGATTGGGTACAGAAATATAGTAAATCCTCATTTTGGAGTAAATGACGATGGCTCTAAAATATTAGAGAAACTCGTGTGATCTTTTTGCTAAGGTGGAGAATGTCTTGGTAAGCAATTGAGAAAAATCCTTGAAGAGTTTTATGATATAGGGATTGATATGTTATTAGGAAATAGTCAGAGTTGGGAAATAGACACAGTCAATATTAGAATCCAAGCTAAAAAAAAAAGGAGGGGGGGAATTGTTTTAATAGGTTACTGGGAAGACCTAGAAATAGAGAAGCAAGATAGAAGCTGAAATAATTTGCTCAAAGTTTTAATTTTCCCCCACCCACAGACTGAAAAATAATTAGAAAAGTTAAGCTAAAAAATACAAATGTAACATTTGAAACAAGATTGAAAATATTCTGATAAGAATTTAAAATAACAAATACAGAAAATATAGAGACCAATTAACTTTATAGAGGCCTGTTTATTACTTTGTAATTGTACCACAGTAACTTAATTTATAATGACAACAGTTGTGTTCAGAAGAAATGTTAATTTTCTCAATATTATAGTAGGAGTAAGAGGAGTACAGTGTAAGATAAAACTTTTAAAAATTACCAAGCTGGACTTCTGGTCAAGATAGCAGTGTGTGGGTAAACAATACTCTTATCATCCTGCAGCCATATTAAAATTACAACTAAACTACACAACAACCGTCATTAAGAACCACTTGAAATCTAGCCCTGGCTAGTTTTGCTCAGTGGTTAGAGCGTCAGCCTGTGGACTGAAGGGTTTCGGGTTTGAGTCCCAGTCAAGGGCATGTACCTGGTTGCAGGTTCAATCCCCGGCCCTATTGGACACATGCAGGAGGCAACCAATTGATGTGTCTCTCTCACATTTATGTTTCTTTCTCTTTCTCCCTTTCCCTCCCTTCCACTCTCTCTAAAAATCAATGGAAAAAATATCCTTGGGTGGGGATTAACCAAAAAAACAACAACAAAACTCCACCTAAAATCTAGCTGAATAAAAGTCCTACAACTTGGGATTTAAAGAAGAAGCCACATTGAGACTGGTAGGAGGAGGGGTGAAGATGCAGAATGGGCTGGTTCCACACTCAAATGTGGCAGATAAAGATCAGGAGGGATATTTCCATTTTGGAGATCCCTCCTAGGAAGCAAGGGGCATCAGTCCCACATCAGGCCCCTAGGCCCAGGGTTCCAGTGCTGGGAGGAGAAGTCCCCATAATTTCTGGCTGTAAAAGCTAGCAGGGATTGAGGTTGAGTGAGAGGGGGGGCTGCTGGAGTCCCAGGCAGTTCTTAAAGGGCCCACACAGGGACTTACTTTAACTCATTTCCTCTGAGCTTCAGGACTGGGGCAGCAGCTTGAAAGGCACCAGGGACATAAGGGGAGGAACTGAATTGTCTGGCATCAGGATGAGAGGTGAGGGGAGGACAGCCTTCTCCCAGACAAAAGTGAAGGCAGAGGCCATTGTTCCTTTAATGAGCCCTCCCCCCACAGAGCTAGTAGGCAGGTGCCATATCTGAGTCTCCATCAACCTGGCTATCACTGTTTGCCCAGCCCTAGTGATTCCCTTAGACCCACCCCCTCTAAACTTGCAGGTCCATCTAAGCTGTTTCCAGTGGCTTTTCCATGCAAATGACCTACCTTGATTCAAGCTTCAGACTTTCCTAAAATCTCTCAAACAAGCAGCATCTGGTTTCAGCTTGCCCTCTACCTCTGTTTAAGTGGTTTCAAGCCCAGCAGTAGCAGTAACTGACTGTGGTTGGAAGCTTGGCCCTTCCTGTGCACCTCCAAGCCCAGCACAAGTAGCAGCCATCTTCAGATCACTTTGTACCTCAAGCTGCTTGACCCTGGACAGAACACAGGTGGCAGCTAACCTTAGCATGCGCCTCTTGGTAGACCTCAAGGCCAACACACCCAGTGGACAGCTTCAGACCACATTGAAGCACCACCCAACCACCTCCTCGGTGACACAGTCAAGGGGCAGACTTAGTGGGCACCAGAGCCCCACTGAAGTAAGTCCTGCTCTGTGGGACAGGATTTGCACAGCTGATTCTCCATGGTGGTTGGTGGTCATAGCCAGTCATTGCAGCGGATTGGCCTGATGGTAAATCCCTCCCATTGATGTGCCAAAAACATTCACAGCTCAACTACAAGAGGAGGATGTACATAGACCACCTGGGGGGGGCGCACCTGGAGTGCCCAGCTCTGGTGATCAGGGAGGCTGTGCCACTGGATGCTGTAGGGCACCTACTACATTAGGCCACTCTTCCAATCCCAGCAGATGTAGCAGCTCTGCCTAATACACAGAAACAAACACAGGGAGGCTGCCAAAATGAGACAAAAAAACATGACCCAACTGAAACAGAACAAAATTCCAGAAAAAGAACTAAACTAAATGGAGACAAGCAATCTACTAGATGCAGAGTGCAAAATACTGGTTATAAGGATGCTCAGAGAATTTAAGGGAAAAGTAGTTAAACTTAGAACTTCAACAGCATAAATAAGGACATGGAAACTATAAAAAAAAAAGGCAGTTAGAAATGAAGGATACACTAACTGAAATGAAGAATAATTCCCAGGGAATCAACAGTAGAGTAGATGAAGCTGAGAATCAAATCAGTGATTTGGAATATAAGGAAACAAAAAATACCCAATCAGAACAGCAAAAAGATAAAACAATTCAAAAAAATGAA